AGTTTTATAATAAGGTAAAGAATAACAAGTTTGTTTATGTTTATTGTCTAGCCATAGTCTCCTTAGTGTATTATTGGTCCTGAGAGATTCCATCAGTACCAGTACTCCATCAGTATCAATGCTAGTATGGTGGAGCCTAAGGTTAGATAGTGTGTGGTTATAGAGTAAAAGTTCAGCTAGTGACTGAGCACTGGTTGAAGTGATGTCAGGATTGTCACTAAGATATAAGTCAATAATTGTTTTATTATTAATTAATGATTGTGTTAGTGCAATGACTCCATCATCATTGATGGAATCATTACTGATCACTAGTGTCACTAATGAAGTATTGTTTGTTATTTTGTGTGACAGTAAGAGGATGACATCTTTTGTTATTTTAGTGTTTCTTATATAAATATACTTAATTGTTCCTTTGTTCAGTGCTAGTGACATCAATAGGTATACAATATCAGGTGATGAGTAATAGAGGTAAATTTTCCGATGAATGTCCGTTAATTGACTGATCACTTCCTGACATTGACCTGCTGATGGTTTAGTGAGGAATACACTACCAATGGTCCACTCTACCTCTCCAGTCTCTTCTCCTAATAATAAACACAGTCAGTCAGTTAATGTGTGTATATTATTATTTTAATACAGTATAATAGGTAAAATGATAATATTATATTATTTTATTAATGATGTTTGTTTGTGTGTTGTTCCAGGTGATGCTGGTTTTTGTACCAGTAAGTCATTACAGCTGCTAGGATGGAATGGGTGTGGTCTATCTTTTATCATGTGACAGGAAACAAAAATCAATTGTATGTTTTATTAATGTATTGGAATCAATAATTATTGTCCCTCCCTCTCTCTCCCTTCATCACTCTCATTCTCATTTTTTCTCTCTTTTAATTTGTTTCTCATCTCTCTTTCATTCTCTCTCATTCTCATTCTTTCTCTCTCCGGCTCTCTCTCTCTATAGTCCTTGGTCCATTATGCCAGCTAATCAACTTCAAAGCACAAGCTAATGTAAGCATATACCATATACATGTATCTGGTAATTATACTATATCCCAACTGAGTTTGACAGCAGCTGCTTGGAATTTGAAATACATGTATGTAGCCATACATCACTAATGATGTCTTATAATGATATTCATAGAAGCATGGCTGATTTTTTACAGCTGCATGGTTGGCCTGTATTTCACTCTTAAATAGGTTTTGTTTATTCTGATAAGCAGTACAATAGCTGCTGGAGTCAACTAGTCTTCATAAAGGCCATCATTATCAAAAGATCTTGCTCTGTTAGCTTTTTAAACGAGAAGGTGCGGTATAAAAGGCGGGGCCCTGGGCATGGTGGCTTCCGTTTTATTCACGTGTAAAAATGTCGGCTCTAGATGGTGTTGCTTC